TGAGTGGATGAGAATGGACACAGGAAGTAGATTATTCTACCCTGTGCTTGCCCATTGGCCTGGGAGCCCACGTTCGCAGGCAGGCTCTTCCCAGCCCTGAGGGCGGCTCCCCATGGGAGTTCTCGGTCATCTCCCACCTCTCGGGGCGCTCCACCGAACCCATGCCCGGCTCCCAGGAGCAACTTGCCATGAGCGGGTCCCTGCTTTCCCACAGGCCAGGCCCTGACAGGAAGCGGAGAGTGTGGCTCCACCCGGGGTCCCGCCTCTGCCCGTGGTCCACCCTTGTGGCTTCATAGCCTGGGAACCACAGTGAGTCGAAGGCCTGCACTGTCTCTTCCGGCCGACGTGGGTCCTGATGGTTTGAGCAGACGGGCGCTGGCCCCCAGATGAGCACCGGGGCACTCCGGTACCTGGAGCCTCCTAGCAAGGGCGTCGTCCCAGGAGAAGCCTGGGACACAGAGGCCATTGTTTCTCTCTCACCACAGGCGGAGCTCCTCCACCTGTCCGCTGTCCTCGGGACGCCCCAGGAGTTGGTGCCTGTCCTGGTTCCCCTTCCCCAGGGAGGAGGCCCAGGCGCTGGCAGGTGGAGGGGAACGGCCGGGCAGAGGAGCGGCCGAGCAGAGGAGCAGCAGGGCCTGTGTAGCCTCAGAGGGCTCACTGGGTCTCAGCCCTGGGCCTCTGGCTGCCAGGCCAGGAGCATGCTGTGACTCCGAGGAACTAGCAGAACCCTCCAGGCTACCAGTGTCCATGAACCTCTGGCGCAGCAGGGAAGCTTGGGCCACTCTGGCTGGAACCACCAGGCGGGTCTACACCAGCCGGGTCGGCCTGGAGCTGACCCCAGCCAGGCCTCTGCAGCCACAGGCTCCCTCCCCAGGTGCCGCGGGGTGATTCGTTAAGACAGATCACACCAGTCACCCGAAATACACTTCAGGGGAAAATGGATGGTTTTTATCTCCTTTTTGTGGTGGTGTTAGGAGAAGTGGGCGGCCACAGTTCATTAAAAATTAAAAGCAGAGGAGGCTTCATTAATTTCTCTGGCATTGCAGGCTCCGGTTTCTCAGGGAACAGGCCTGCCAGGCCCCAGCGTTTCTCTGGCTCCACGTGGAGGGTGCCTTCCGTGCGGGTGGGCACTCCCCGCTGAGCTCCGTGGGGGGCTGCCCAGATTGGGGCCCACGGCCCCTGGGTGAGGGGACCAGGGTCTGGCTGGGCTGTCTCCCTAAAGACCTCAGTGCTCTGTTTCCGGGGTGCCAGGAGGAGACCCAGGGGCCTCAAAGAGAAGCTGTTGGGGGCAGGACTAGTCCCAGGTCAGCAGTCCTCAACCCCACTGTGTCTGGGGAGGAACTTGGCTGTCCAGAAACCAGTGAGGCCCTGGCAATGGGCAGGGTTGCATTTCTCTGTTTCCTGGCTGTGCAGGCCAACAGGAGCCCAGTGGGACGCATTGGCTTCGTGGTCTTGGCAGGCAGTTGCAGAGGCCCAAGTCCCAGAGTCCCAGCTGCCCCAGGTCCATGGGGAGGTAAAGGGAGGAGCAGGAGCTCCTGGGAGGCCTATGACCACTGGAGGGCTGGGGGTGTGGCCAGAGCTGGCTGGAGAGATGGAGCTGACTGGGTGTTGCCTTGAAGCGGAGTGTGGGACGATGGTCAGGGTGGAGCTGGGCACCCCTGCCTAGGAGGAGTGGTCAGGCAGGAGCCCCAGGCCCGGAGGGAGGTCAGAGGGGAGAAACATTCTGAGGGCAGAGCTGCGGGACCTGCTGATGGCTCTGGTCTAGGGGAGAGGAGGGTACAGGAGCCTGAGGTCGGTGGGGGGTAGCTGGCCTGGTGCCATCAGGAATGGAGAATTCTGCCTGGGTGGGGCGGGGGGTGGATGCCAGAGGGTAGAGTGGGACTGGACGGCTGCCAGCAGAGCCAGTTGGGAAGTCACCCCTGCGTGGTACTTAATTCCTGGGCTGGGTGGGGGAGAGGTACCTGTGGCCAGCCCTGGGGTCCCCCAAGGAGAACAGAGCAGAGAGGAGAAAACCAGAGCTCCGGGAGGCCGTGCTGAGAGGCCCGGGGAGGAGGGGAGATTCTGGGGCCTGATCACCATGAAGGGCATGGTGAGGCTCCCTGCCAGACAGGAGAGGGTAGGAGGCAGTAGGGGCAAGTGAGGTGGGCAGAGCCCCCGCATTGAGGCTTTTGCCGTGGAGGGCAGGACAGTGGTGGGGAGGCGGGCAGGGTGGGTTCCTAAGCTCCATGCTTTTAGGACCCGGTGGTCCCTGGGTACCCCTGGCAGTGAGGAGAGGAGGGCCTTAGGAAACCCTGGGCTCAGCCCCCAGGGGCAGTTCCCCACTCAGCTCTGCCTCCCCACCGACATGGCCAGACCAGGCCCAGCACAGCCTGGACCTCCAGCGTCGTGTCTGAGCCTCTCATTCAGAGAGAAAGACAGTGGACAAGCCCCCCAAAGAGACCCTCATGCAGCGAGGGCCCTCCCCAGCCAGAGCTCCAGGCACACAGATGAGAGGCGTGGGGCAGGAGGAGAGGCTAGGGGACTGAGCAGAGCTGTCTGCACTGAGGGGTTCCAGGATGAGAGGCGTGGGGCAGGAGGAGGGGCTGGGGGACTGAGCAGAGCTGTCTGCACTGAGGGGTTCCAGGGCATGGTGGGGCACTCTGGGGGCAGACTGACCCCCGATTAGCACCGGGTTCAGACCCCACTGGTCTGTGGGAGGCTTGTCCCACCGCCTGGCTCCAGAAGCCCCGAGTGTGCCAGGTGGGGTGACCAACCTGCCCCAGGACTTGGCCTGAGTCTCCTTTTCAGCATGGGACAAGGACACCCAGAGCCACGCGCCTCTTCCTGGGCCCTGGCCCTTCTTTATTTCATTTATTTTTTTATTATTCATTTTTGAGACAGGGCCTCGCTCTGTCACCTAGGCTAGGGTGCAGTGGCGTGTTGATGGCTCACTTTAGCCTCAAACTGCTAAGTTCGAACGATTCTCCTACCTCAACCTCCCGAGAAGCTGGGACTACAGGCGCGTGCCACCATGCCTGGCTATTATTTATAGAGACGGGAGTTTTGCTCTGTTGCCTAGGCTGGTCTCAAACTCCTGGTCTCAAGCGATCCTCTCACCTCTGCCTCCCAAGGTCCTGGGATTACAGGCATCTGCGACCGGCCTCTGGCCCCTTCTTGAGCTCTGTAACCAGCAGAGGCCACTGTGGCCACTGGGGCACATCAAGGCAGGTGCTGGGACTCTACCAAGGCCCCTCCTGCCCACCCCACGGCAGCCCCACCACGAAGGCTGCTGCACACACCTGGTCCACATCACTTACCCTGAGTGTTGTGAGCTTTGGGAAACACCGCATATTTTAATCACTTTTGGAGATGTTGGGGTCACCAGTCCCGGGCCAGGCAGTGACATCAAATTCTCAGATTCGATTGATGGGAACCAGTGCCTGTTCAGAGGGGAGATGAGGCTCACAGCCCGCCCACTGAGTGTCACAGCCTCCTGCCCTGGTGGACGGTCACAAGGAAGGGGTTGAGGCAGTAACAGGGGTTGGGCTGGTGCGTACCTCCCCCCACCTCTGGACAGCTGCCCTGGGACCTCTGCTTGAACGCTGCCTCCTCCACGCAGCCCTCCAGGATTCTTCAAGGCAGCACAAGTCTTCCTCTGGGCTCCCCTGTCTGTCTGCCCTACTGTGTTGTGGCCCTCGCACTGCACTGGGCAGGGGGCCCATGCTGAGGAGCTCACCTGGACTGCGTGTTCTGCCCCCATACTATCCCTGAGGGAGGCAGGGCACCTCTCTTTGACCTCAGGGAGCAAGGCCAGGCACCAGAGGCAGCCCCCGAGGGCTAAGGCAGCCGAGTGATAGGAGTAGACATCATGGAGGTCATGGTGGCCATAGCTGGGGGCAGTCGAGGGCCCCATGGAGGACAGCCCAGCACCCCAGGGCACAGGCCGTTTAGTGGGACACGTGCTCCGCCTTCCCAGAGATGGCCACGCCTGCTGCAGGAACCCTGGCTCCGGGTCTCACTCCTGTCTGTCCTGCAGGCTGGCAGCATTGGAGTTTTCATCTCAGGGGAACATTAAACCCTGGCCCAGCCTGGCCCGCATCCCGGCACAGCCGGGCACAGGAGGCCCTGTGTCCAAGGCTGGGGCAGTGGGGGCAGCAGCCATCCATCCCCAGGCTCCATCCTACTCTTGGTGGCCAGCCTGGGTCATGGAGGTGGTGGCCACAGTGGGTGAACCACACAATCTCCCCACTCCACCTCACCCCACCTGCCACCCTCGGCGACTGGCACACTGTGGTCTCTTCTCAGGACCTGGAGGCCAGCGGACTGGGTGACAGGCCCCATGAGCATGGGGGTTGAGGGGTGTCTGGGAACTGGTGGCTGGAGCAATAAGTGAGCCTGAGGGAAGGGGAGCAGCCCTGGCTGGAGAGGGCCCACGGCTGGCCTGCGGGCTGGGTGCAGGGATGACCACTTCCCACCAGCCCATCTTCCCCGACAGCCCTTGAGGCTGCAGTGGTCCATGGCCGTGGAGCACAGCCACCAGCGGCCTCCAGACAGAGCAGCGGACCATCAGCTGTGGACGTCCTGTCTGACGCAGGTCCTCCGGTGTGCTCTCAGCACTCGCGGTGTCCTGAGCACCGTGCCCAGAGCCATATGGGCAACTTTACCTCCTGGCAGCTGCCCTGCACCCACGGAGGCTTGGGCAAGGGTGTGTGGAGTGGGTGCCGCACCCTGAGCCCCAGCAGGGCAGCCTGGAGGGCCCAGATTCACAGCAGTGAGTGCCCAGGGGTACAGGGAGGAATCTTGAGAGGAGCTGAGGCTGGGTCAGCTGTCTGCTGGGTGTGACGGACACCACGGCCCTCCCAGGTCTGAGATGGAGGCAGCGGCCCTGCTGGGCCCCATCGGTCTTCTCAACTCCTGCAGTTGGAAGGTTGGAAGCAGTCAGTCGGACTGGGGCTTCCGGCGTGTCCCCAGCCTGAGCCCCCACTGGTCCTGAGCCCCCACACCCCTCTCTGCCCCTCCAGGGTCCAGGTGGAGTTCTACGTCAATGAGAATACCTTCAAGGAGCGGCTCAAGCTGTTCTTCATCAAAAACCAAAGATCGAGTGAGTGGGGCGCCTGGAGGGCCACTCCCAGGCAGGGAGGTGTTGAGGGCGCTGGGAGCAAGGCTGGCAATGGCAAGGGCTGGGGCTGTGAGCTCAGGGAAGAGTCCATGGGGTGGGAGCCGCCTGAGTGCTGCAGGGGGATTTGGAAGCAGGGTGGGGGTGGGTGTGCATGGTGAGTGGGGCACCGGGTCGCCCCCTCTTAGCTTCACACTATCTGAGACCAGGACCTCTCCAGCGGGACCCATGGGGACACTACCCTGCCTGCTGGACACCGGGCTGGGTGGGGCAGGACCATCCACAGGTGCCCGCAAGGTCTCCCCTGTGGACACGCCCTGCCCCCCACCCCTCCATACAGCCCCACCCTCCCCAACAGCTCCCTGCCCTGTTCCTAGCCAGAGCTTGGCCTCATGGCCCCTCAAGGGATGCAGGGTGAGGACTTGGGAGTTTTCCCAGGGGCTCCACATTCACCTGCCTGCTCCCCAATCCTCATCCTGACCCCCAAGAAGTGGAGTGGCCTCTAGAAATCTGCTGCACCCCACGTGCTGTAAGGTGGGGCCAGGGATGGAGCCTCTTGGAGGCTGACCCGGGAGCACCGGCCCCCAAGCAACACAGGGCACGCAGGGCTCTGGGTGCAGCCAGGTGTGGGAGGGGAGCCCAGCTGGGGCCATCCAGAGAGCCCAGTCAGACCCGGGGGCAGGCCCTGCTCCCCGAAGCCCAGGGCTGGGTCAGAGCCCTGAGGCCTCTGCCCTCCCCGCAGGCCTAAGGATCCGGCTGTTCAACTTCTCCCTGAAGCTCCTCACCTGCCTGCTCTACATCGTGCGCGTCCTGCTTGACGACCCGGCCCTGGGCATCGGATGGTGGGCCACCTGCGCGGCTGGGCGAGGGGTCGTGGGTCCCAGGGCTGAGCTTTCCTGCTGGGCCATTACAGAGGCTGATGGCGTCCCTGAGGGAGCTCCTGTGCCTGGGGCCTTGGGGAGTCCTTCCTTCTCCAGCGCCTGTCCCAGGATGGAAAAAGCCAAGGACTCAGTGCCCAGGCTCCCGCAGGCGGCTCAGCGTAGGGAGAAGGGTCCCCATTGTAGACTTCCAGCTGTGCCCTTAGCTGCTAGTGGACCCCAGAAGGTCCATGGAAAGGCTGGAGCATCTAGGAAGCCCTCCCTGCCCCTACAAGTGTCTTCGTGCTCACTTGAGCTTCTGCAGGTCAGGGAAGGGGGCGCCCAGCCCCCCAGGGAAAGCCCTAGCTGTTTCTGGGGGTGTCTTCTACCCCTCCTGGGTCCCAAGGAGTCCCCTTCCCAGGGCCCATCGTCCTGGGGCCAGTGCTCCAGGGACTTCCGGGAGAGGTGCTCTAGCAGCCGTGTGCACCGTCAGGTCCTCACCAGCCTCGCAGCAGCCACCATGAGGGTGCGTGGGAACTTGCTCTGAGTCCTGTTCCGTCTCCTTCTGCTGTTGCTGCTTCGAGAAGTGGCAGCTCCTGGGACCTACTCTGTGCCCAGGGCGCCTTGGTGACTCCTGCTCCGTGTGGGTCCCAGGGGACATCAGCAGGGCCCTGCGGCCCTCAGTGCCGGATTGTCCTGAGTCATGTCTTTGGGGACCAACCCCCAACCCCAGGCCTCTCGCTCTGGCCCCCTGGCACTTGGATGCTGTGCTCTGTGTCCTGTTTCTTCTGTCCCCTCTCTTGCCTCGTTCCCTCGTTCACTCATTCACTTGTTCTGTCCTGCTTCCTGGTTTCCAGAAATCCTTCCTCTGAATGTCCTTCCGAGGATGACATCTCCAGTCCTTTCCTGTTTTACAGTTTCCCCATCTGCTGGGCCCGTTTCTCCCGAGCTCACATTGGGCCCTGATTTTTTCATACCCATAATCACCTCAAATGTCTGGTGCTGTTTATGCATAAGAGTGCTCAGGTGCTTAGGGGCTCTGCAGCCACATGTGTGGTGTGGTTGTCACCATCCAGCCATCGAGGTGAACCCTGCCAGGATGCTGGTCCCCTCTCTGGCTGTGCAGAGCAGGTTCTTCCTTGGAGAGGAAGGCCTGACTGCCGGGAGCCTGGCTTCTGGGGCCTAAAGGTGTGCATGTGAACTTTTGCTCAAGCCCCTTTTCACTTGTTACCCCATCACGGGGGGCCTGGCATCCCCAGGCCAGAGACTTACCCTCTCCTAAGAACCAACTTTCTGTCTTTGTCTAGGTCGGAAGAGGGCAGAACCCACTAGGATAGTTTGAGGAGGAGAACTGGGCCCTAACTGACTCTCAAGCTACTTTCCTGGGTCACCCCCCACCCCAAGTCCCGGGGCCCCGGGGCTTCTGGTTTCACCTCCCCACAGGGCCCAAGTCTGTTATGTTCTCTGCCCATGAACATAACATAGGGCAGACAGCGAGGGTACATCCCACATCTGCGGGATTGGGGTTAGCCCCGACTCAACAGCAACACACTGGTTCTGCCTGTGTTGACAACAGGCTCCCAGGGAGGGGCACTACATGGCCAGAGAGAGCACATGGGAACACTCAGGGCCTCCCCAAGGCCAGAGCTGCCTTGAACAAGGCTGGACAGTGCTCAAGAGACAGGGAGAGGAAGCTCCTATCCCTAGGTGCTGACTCCAAGAGGCATGTCCCTAAGCTGCTTCTGAGGACAAGTGACCCCCAAGTCACCTGGAACCAGCTGCTGCGACAGTGACCAGGGCATGACCAACGTGCTAGTTTTGTCCCAGACCATCACCAATGCTCATACCCTAGCACAGCGTCCAGGACGTGGACGGGGGTGGGAAGATGGGTGGATGATGGATGGTTGGATGGATGGATGGATGGATGGGTGGGTGGATGGATGGAGTGGATGGAGTGGATGGAGGGATGAGTGGATGGGTGGATAATGGATGGATGGAGTAGATGAATGGAGGGATGAGTGGATGGGTAGATGATGGATGGATGGATGAGTGGATGGGTGGAGGGATGGATGTTGGATGAAAGGATGAGTGGATGGGTGGAGGGATGAGTGAATGGATGGAGAGATGAGCAGATGGATGGAGGGATGGACAGATGAGTAGATGGATAGATGAGTGGATGGATGGAGGGATGGATGGATGATGGATGGATGGACAGATGAGTAGATGGATAGATGGATGAGTGGATGGATAGACAGTGAGTGGATGACTGGAGGGATGGATGGATGGATGAGTGAGTGGAAAGATGGATGAGTGATGGATGATAGATGGATGTCCAGATACTTTTGTGGGCATTGAGTTTGCAACAACCCCATTAAAAATCAGGGGAAAGTGGGTCAGTTGAAAGAGAAGACAAAAGGAGCTGGCCATTGCCAGGGGCCTTGTGAGCAGTGAGGTCTCCTTGGTCAGTGACACTGGCATTGGTGATGGTCTGGGACAAAACTAACGTGTTGGCCACACGCTGGTCACTGTCACAGCAGCTGGTTCCAGATGGCTTGGGGGTCGCTTGTCCTCAGAAGCAGCTTAGGGATGTGCCTCTTGGAGTCAGCACCTAGGGATAGGAGCTTCCTCTCCCTGTCTCTCGAGCACTGTCCAGCCTTGTTCAAGGCAGCTCTGGCCTTGGGGAGGCCCTGAGTGTTCCCATGTGCTCTCTCTGGCCATGCAGTGCCCCTCCCTGGGAGCCTGTTGTCAACACAGGCAGAACCAGTGTGTTACTGTTGGGTCAGGGCTACCCCCAATCCCGCAGATGTGGTATGTACCCTCGCTGTCTGCCTGCTGGGCTGAGCAGAGGCCACCCCAGCCTTCCTCAGTTAGAGGCCCTCCTCCAGGATCTCTGCAGTGGGTGGGGAGGGGAGCAGACTGCCTTGTCTCCCAGATGTGGGAGCTCAGACCCTTCCAGGATGTGGGAGGTAGCCCTGGGTGGGTGAGTAGGAGGCCCCCATGAACCCGAGCCTGTGGCACCCCTCGGGCAGCAAGTCCTTGCAGTGGTGCTGGAGGGGCCGAGGCCAGGCCAGCGCTGTGTCTCTCCACAGCTGGGGCTGCCCAAAGCAGAACTACTCCTTCAATGACTCGTCCTCCGAGATCAACTGGTAAGTCCACACTCCAGCTCCCAATAGCCAGGTGCTCAGAGGCTTGGGACTAGGGTTGGGTGGGATGGCCAGAGGCTCACACTGCCTGGTGCCTGAGGGACAATGCCCAGCCTCAGCCCAGCAGCCACCCAGGTTCCCCAGAATACATGTGCCCTTGGCCCTAGCCATGGTCAATGCTAGGAATGTCTCCTTCAGGAGGAGCAGTTTGAGAATTATGAGTTCCCAGCCAGTTCCACAGCCTCCACACACTCTTCCTGAGCCCAGTGAGAGATGCAGGGAAGCCTGTCTCCTGGTGAGTTGGCAGCTTCTCTTCCAGTTCACCGTCTTATGGCCAAGGAAGGCGGCTGCCCTGGGCAAGCAGTGGGAGGTGACTGCAGGGCAGCCGGGGTGCCTGGTCCAGAGGTTAAGACCTGTCCCCAGACCCTGCTAGGCGTGTCCCCAGTGCCTGAGCCCCTGTCCACAACAGGCGAGGACATCAGGCGAGGGGCAGATGGCCCCCTGCAGCCATGCCCCTGCCTGTTTATGGATGAGGAACCCAGGCTCAGGGAAACCCAGAGGGCTGTCAGTTAGATAGCCCAACCTCCGTGCTCTTAGGGACATTCATGGGAGCCTGGCTCCAGGGACCCAGGTGAAAAAAACAGGCCACCCAGGCTGCTGTTGCCTGTCATTTCCAGAGAGGAGAAGCTTTGCTACCCTTGGCAATGTCATGGGCTGCAGGCCAAGGCTCCATGGGAACTCAGCCATGGGCCCCAGCCTCACAAGCACTTCCTGGGGGGCCAGCCCGCTGCAGTCCTGCTCCCTCCTCTCCTCTCTCCTTCGCTTCCCTTCTCCTTCCCTTCCTTCCTCCTTACGGTCCCCTCCAAAGGCAAGGTAGGCTCCTTTGGTCCAGCCCCAGTGAGTAGCACATGCTTGGGGCCAGGGGAGGCCAGTGGTTATGGCCCCAGCCCCAGGGTGGCTGGGGGACACTAGTGGCTGTGGTGCCCTACTGTGCTGCCTCCTTTCTCTCCCCAGGGCTCCCATTCTATGGGTGGAGAGAAAGATGACACTGTGGGCAATCCAGGTGAGTGCCCCACCCTGCCCCCTCCCCACTGGAGTGGTGCTCAGTAAGCACTGAGGACCAACCCAGGCTCAGTAAATGCTGAGGACAAACCCAGGCTCAGTGAGCAGGGGACCTAGACTCAGTGAGCACTGAGGACAGACCCAGGCTCAGCAAATGCTGAGGACAAACCCAGGTTCAATAAACAGGTGACTCTGGCTCAGTGAGCACTGAGGACAAACCCAGGATCGGTAAACAGGGACCCAGGCTCAGTGAGCACTGAGGACAGACCCAGGCTCAGTAAGCAGGGAAATCAGGCTCAGTGAATGCTGAGGACAAACCCAGGCTCAGTAAATAGGGAAACCAGGCTCAGTGAATGCTGAGGACAAACCAAGGCTCAGTAAACAGGTGACTCAGGGTCAGTGAGCACTGAGGACAAACCCAGCATTTACTGACTCAGGCTCAGTAAATGCTGAGGACAAACCCAGGCTCAGTGAGCACCAAGGACAGTCCCAGGCTCAGTAAGCACGGGACCCAGGCTCAGTGAATGCTGAGGACAAAGCCAGGTTCAGTAAACAGGTGACTCTGGCTCAGTGAGCAAGGAGGACAAACCAAGCAATTACTGACCCAGGCTCAGCAAATGCTGAGGACAAACCCAGGTTCAATAAACAGGTGACTCTGGCTCAGTGAGCACTGAGGACAAACCCAGGATCGGTAAACAGGGACCCAGGCTCAGTGAGCACTGAGGACAGACCCAGGCTTAGTAAGTAGGGGACCCAGGCTGAGTGAGCACTGAGGACAGACCCAGGCTCAGCAAATGCTGAGGACAAACCCAGGCTCAGTGAGCAGGGGACCTAGACTCAGTGAGCACTGAGGACAGACCCAGGCTCAGTAAGTAGGGAACCCAGGCTCAGTGAATGCTGAACACAAACCCATGCTCAGTAAGCAGGGGTCCCAGGTTCAGTGAGTGCTGAGGACCAACCCAAGCTCTACTGCTCTCTATACAATTTTCCCAGGGATCCCTGAGGGCTTCATGACCCCCTCTGTCTGCTTCACTGTCTGAATCTCTCCCTCCGCTGACCCATCTGTGTCCTTGCTGTTTTCCTGGGGTGGAAAGTGGCCAGCCACATCCCTGGCTGGCTCCTGGGTGGGTGACCTAGTTCATGACTAGGTCCCATGTCTCTATCTGAGACCAGAGAGGGTCTCCCGTGCCCACCCCATCATGTTCCAGAGGGGTCAGTAGATGCCTGTGCTGAGAGGGGGTTCCACTGGGAAAACCAGGTCCACTGAGCCTCCATCTCCATCCCCTCCCCACCAGGGCAGCGGGAATAGCCGCTCTCTGGTGTCTTCCTGAGTCTCCTGCCTCACCCACTGCACCTTCCATCCCACCCTGGGCCTAGAGTGGGCGGCCCGGGAGGACCAGGGTTTCAAGACTCCATCTGCCCTTGGCCCTGGTGGGGGTCAGCCAAAGGCCTTGGCAGCTAAGACTGTCCTGACATGGGAGTGAGGGTCAAGGCAGCCCCCCCAGACACACGCCTGGCTTTGTGTGGTACCTGCCCACCGAGGCCTGTGGCGATCAGAGGCCTGCGCCGCAGCCCCGGCCTGCTCCAGAGCTCCTTCCTCTTCCTGGACTCCCAGGTCATCGTGGCCAAATAAGCTTCCTGGAGACAATGCTTCTCATCTACCTCAGCTACAAAGGGAGTGCCTGTCCTGGGGTGGCACCTCACAGGGGGTCCCACCCTTCCCCGACCCTTCCCCACGCTCCCGCTACCCTCCCGGGATGGACGTGCCCGGCACCGTTCAGCCCCAGCCTCGCCCCCCACTGCTCCCGCTAGCCTCCCCCGCCTTCGCTCGCGCCCAATCGCCTCCGGGGCCGAGGCGTCCCGCGTGACGGCTCCATACGCTCCGCGCGCAGGCCTTCCGCCGCCCGCGCCGACCTCGCGGCCGCGACGCCAGTGCGCCGCGGTACCTACCCCACCTCCCCGCCACCTCCCCACGGCGTCCCCTACCTCCCCCGCGTCCCAGGCGCTCCCACGCTCCGACGGCCGGACAGGCCTTCCCGCCATCCTCCGCCCACTGTCCCTACCTCCCCCCGCTTCCCACCTCCGCCACGTGTCCTTCCGCGTAACCTCCCGATACGTCCCTCCCACTCTCCCCCACTGCTCCCCAGCCCCCCCCACCTTGCCCGCACCTTCTCCCATCTTCCGCCCACGCTCCCCCACCCTCTCGCTTATTTCCCACATCTGTGTGCGCCCAGCCTCATCCCCCGACCTCCAGGCTCCAGGGATTGGCTCCTCGCCCTCTCCCCATCCTGCCCCTCCCCTGCCGGGCCCCACCCCCACCCTCCGTCGCCCCCTCTGACACCCCCCGTTTGGCCCCCAGGGCAACATCTGGGAGCAAATCTTCCGCGTGTCCTTCGTCCTGGAGATGATCAACACTCTGCCCTTCATCATCACGGTGGGTGAGCCCCGGCCGCCAGGAGTGTGGCCCCTGGAGCCCCAGCCCTGACCTGTCCCCTTCACAGATCTTCTGGCCGCCGCTGCGGAACCTGTTCATCCCCGTCTTTCTGAACTGCTGGCTGGCCAAGCACGCGCTGGAAAACATGATTGTAAGCCGGGGCGGGGGGTGCAGCTGGGACCTGGGGGGGCCACCCTCAGCCTCACCGGCCCTGGAAGACACTGTGTGACGTAGCCTGCCACGCCCGGCCCTGGCGTGAGCTGTAGAGGACCAGGAGGCCAGGGCAGCACAAACTCTGTTTCTGCTCCTGGAAAACATCCAAGCCAAGCCCCAAATGCCCTCTTTCCAGGAAGAAACTCAATCCCAGAGCTTTTCCTAACCCTGGAAATTAAATGGCTGGCGGGAGGAGGAGGGACAAAGTGAAGAGTGTGACAAACCCAGGCCACGAGGACCAGGGCCACAAACACCAGGCCACACGCAAACCGGGGCCACGGGGCCACAGACAGGCCCTGTGCTAAGTGTCTCAGCAAGGTCTCTGTTGTGGGAATGGCAGCAGCCGGTTCCCTAGGCACCCACCCTCTCCAAGCCAGACCCCTTGATTCACAGACCCCATTCCTGCCCCGGTGGTAAAGCGGCGTTACCATGCTGGGTCCAAGCCGTACACACTAACCAGCCCTCTGACCTGAGACTTAAGCTCATCCCCGGGGACGTAGGCAAGATGGGGACCTGTCCTGAGAGAGGACAGCAGAAGGGGGGCCCAGGTGCAGGCTGCTCCGTGGGCCTCAGGTGCAGGCTGCTCCGTGGGCCTCAGCCGAGACACAGGTGTGGCCGGGTGCAGGCTGCTCCGTGGGCCTCAGCCGAGACAGGTGTGGCCGGGTGCAGGCTGCTCCGTGGGCCTCAGCCGAGACACAGGTGTAGCCGGGTGCAGGCTGCTCCGTGGGCCTCAGCCGAGACACAGGTGTGGCCAGGTACAGGCTGCTTCGTGGGCCTCAGCGGAGACGCAGGTGTGGCCGGGCCGTCTGCTTTCCATTGGCCTTCTAGTTTCTATTCATTGGCTCCTGGTGGGGTTCACAGTCCCTGCCCGCTGATGGCCACCGCTCCTTCCACAGAACGACTTCCACCGTGCCATCCTGCGGACGCAGTCGGCCATGTTCAACCAGGTCCTCATCCTCTTCTGCACCCTGCTGTGCCTCGTTTTCACGGGGTGAGTGCCGGCCATCAGTGCAAGCACCCCAGAACGTTGGGGAGGGCCTGAGAGGCAAGCAGGGCCGGGCTAGGGGATGCAGATGCCTGTGTCCAAGCAGTCAGGGGGCAGAAAAGGCCACGGTGCCTGGGCTGCGGGTGTCGGACCACCCAGCTGGGACTGAGGTCAGGAGGCAGCTCCAAGCCCACGTCCCCAGTACACCAGCAGCCCTGCAGCCCGGCTCCTCCAAGGCCAGAGATACCTAGACCTGGCTTCCTGGTCTATGCCGTGGATGTAGAGAAAGGGACTGGTCCCTGGGCCAGGTGGGGGTCTCTTGGCTGAGGCCCAGCTGAAAGCAGGGTTTGGAGGCAGCCGGGGTAAAGGTGGGGACGCCCAGAGCTGCAAGGGCCTCCAGCCCACCCAAGCGTGTCCACTGTGCCCACCTGCCTGTGTTCCTGCTGATGGCTCCATGTTGCTGCTCTGTCTTGGTTCCCAGCGAGGCCTAGTCGCCACTTCCCTTCCTCAGGCAGGGATGTCAGGCTAGCACTGTGCCCTGGGAGCAGGGAGAGTGCCCTGTGTTTCCCGCCTCCATTCCCTCACTGTCCCTCATGACAGACACAGAGCTCAGTGGGCAGATTGGGGCATCCATGGGGATGGCATCTGGGACCTGGCGGTGACCCCAGCCCTGCCCATTAGACCTCCCAGCCTCAGGCCTGGGTGGCTTGTCTGGCTGTGCCTGGCAGAGGCCTGAGTGTGGTGGGTAAAGGGGCAAGGCTCTGAGATGGGGGTGGAGAGCCAGACCCACCCCCCCCCGTGCCACTCAAGGCCACACTGATGACACACCCCTGCATCCCCTGCTCCCAGAGAATTTTCCAGGGGCCTAGGAGAGAGCCACCAGGCAGGCAGGGAGGCTCCGGGGAATTTGCCATGAACAGCGGCCGCCATGCTGTGGCCGAGGGGTCAGCTGCATTGTCAGCCAGCGTCCGGCAGGAGGTGGCTCTGGCAGAGCCTGGGGACAGATGGGCAGGGCTGAGGGCCTGACACCACCCAGCTCTCAGGAGGGCGAGGCTCACCCGGTGACCAGGTGATGAACAGCTCAGTCTCCTGGGCAGTGAGGGTCCCGTGGGCAGGCAGAATCTCTGGGGCCACGGCCCCCCAGCTCTTGGGCCGCAGGCCGCCCCTAACTGCCCGGGGTTGCAGGACCTGCGGCATCCAGCACCTGGAGCGGGCGGGCGAGAACCTGTCCCTCCTGACCTCCTTCTACTTTTGCATTGTCACCTTCTCCACTGTGGGCTACGGCGACGTCACGCCCAAGATCTGGCCGTCACAGCTGCTGGTGGTCATCATGATCTGCGTGGCCCTCGTGGTGCTCCCACTGCAGGTGAGTCCTCCGGGCATCAGCACTGGGTGGCACCGGCACTGGGTGGCACCAGCAAAGGGACAGGCGGGCGCCGGCGGAGGGAGGGGGCTGCTGGGGCTATGGCACAGTGCAGGGGCCACTCCCAGGCGGGGACAGCGAGGCCAGCCGGGCGGTGCCTGCTCCGTTGCACGCCCCCACTGAGGGTCTGCGGCGGGTCTGGTGGTGCTCAGCGTGGTGGGTGATGATGGAGTCCCGTGAGCCGGCCTTTTCCCTCTAGGGAGATGGTGGGTCTCCAGCGCCTGGGTGACCTGCCCCTCCCAGGCCCCAGGCAGAGTGCAGAGAGGGCTCAGGGTGGACAGCCGCCCCATTTCCCATCCACAGGCAGGTGCAGCAGCAGCTGCCAGGCCCACAAGGAGCACACCCCCTGGGCCACCCCAGCAGCTTCCCTGTCACCACTGCTGAGGCCCACTGCCCACTGAGCAGAGGAGGGGCCAGACCTCAGCGGGAACGGTGGAGGCCTGGAGAGGGCAGCTGCCCAGGGTGTGAGTGCTTGGGCCTGGACTGCCTCTGACACCTCCTCTCGGCACCCCAGCCCACCCTGGAAGGCCCCTGCTATCGGGGAGATGGGAGAGGGAGGGGCCCCCTGTGGGTGGTGGAACATTTTCTAGGAGCCTGGGTGGGAGGAGGAGCCCGAGGAGGTGGCCAGGGCCTTCTGGGAGTCAGACCCCCAGCTGGCTGCGGGATGCCAGGGAGACAGGGCAGTGATTCCAGGGAGCCTCTGCCGACCCCGGACTCAGCCCCAGCTCCCTCCCCGTAAACAGCAGCGGGCGTGGCACAGGTGTGGGCCCAGGCCAGGCCTGGCTCTTCCCCTCACTATATCCGAGTCAAAGCTGTGGCACCAGCTGTATGGCCCTCAGTGTGGGCCATGTTCTCCACATCTGCTGGCTTCCTTTCCCCTAACTTCAGATGGGGGCGTGCGTGTCCTTCTACCTGGTTGTGGGCTACTCCACCACCCAGTGCCGCGAGTCCCGTTCCTGTGAGCTGCCCGCTCCTCTTTGGTCTGCCCCCCAGTTTCCGCTGATGAGCGAGTCTGTGTTCTAGAAGCAGCCAGCTGTGTGTGGTTTTCCCATTACTTCCCGCTCCATCGCCGCTCCTGTCACTTTGCTTACAGAATCTTCCATTCACAGATGGTCTTGACTTTTTTTATTTTTTTAATTAGAGATAGGGTCTCACTCTCATTTTGTTGCCCAGGCTGGCCTCGAACTCCTGAGCTCAAGCGATCCTCCCCCCTCAGCCCCAGAAATAGCTGGGATTACAGGCAGCCTGGCTTTGATTCACCAATCTTTCCCCTATGGTTTCTGTTTTTCTGTCTTGACTAAAAAGATCATTCCTTCCCTCGATCATACTCCTGGCTTCCTATTTTCTTTTTTTTTTTTTTTTTTTTTTTTTTTTTTTTTTTTTTTTTTGAGACGGAGTCTAGCTCTGTCGCCCAGGCTGGAGTGCAGTGGCCGGATCTCAGCTCACTGCAAGCTCCGCCTCCCAGGTTTACGCCATTCTCCTGGCTCAGCCTCCCGAGTAGCTGGGACTACAGGCGCCTGCCACCTCGCCCGGCTAGTTTTTTGTATTTTTTAGTAGAGACAGGGTTTCACCGTGTTAACCAGGATGGTCTCGATCTTCTGACCTTGTGATCCGCCCGTCTCGGCCTCCCAAAGTGCTGGGATTACAGGCTTGAGCCACCGCGCCCGGCCCTGGCTTCCTATTTTCTTCTAAAAGTGTAAAGCTCGCCTCTCACCTGGAGGGTTTCACCCACCCAGAACCACCGTGTGGGGTGGGGATGGAGCTGGGTTCTCCCCTCTGACGCCTGCTCCCCCACACCTTGCACTCTGCTCCTTTCTCTGCACGTTTCATAACCAGGCAAGGGCGGGAGCGAGGTCAGGAGCACAGTGTGGGGGGCACTCCGTGCAGTGACACTGCCTCCCTCTTCGGCCCACTTGCCCCATCCATAAATCTCACCTCAAATTCTTTACCTTAATTACTTCTGCAAAGACCCTTTTGCAGATGGGGTCCCATCCTGAGGTGCAGGGGGACCTGCTTTCAGGGCCACCCTTCACCCTGCTACGGGCCCCCAGCCTCTGTCCCTGGTCCTCCCCGGCTGCTGCACCTGCTGAGGCTGCTGCACCCGGATGCTCTACAGAGGCCTTGGCTAGTCCAGTCTCTGAATTCCCCACAAGCCCTTCCAGAGACATGTCCGAGAGGCCCCTGGGCCAGCTGAGGTCAGAGGATGGGTCAGCTGAGGTCAGGGGATGGGTCAGCAGGGCCAATGCGTCCCCCTTTGCCCCAGCCACATGCAGCTCCACCTTCATGCTCCATCCGGCTCCTCTCCCCACCCCAAACACCCCAGAGTGAGGAGGAGCCCAGCCTCAGCCAACCCCAGGGTCGCTTTCAAATAAAGCAGGAGCGAAGTGCTGTCTCCTGTGCTTCTCACGAGACCATGGCACCCACGGGTAGGGGCCAAATCGGGATGTGTGGCAGGCCTGTTCCGTGTCCCTCTGCTGTGTCCACAGCCTCCAGGCTGGGGCCACCTTCCCATTCTGCTCCTGAAGCATCAGGGGAGCCCCCACCTCCCCTTATCTCCATTAAGAAGTAAGAGAAGGCCAGGTGCAGGCAGGGCTAACGCCTGTAACCCCAATACTTTGAAAGGCCAAGGCGGGAGGATCGCTTGAGCCCAGGAATTTGAGACCAGCCTGGGCAACATAGGGAGACTCCCATCTCCACCAAAAAATATGAAAATTAGCTAGGTGTGGTAGCGTGCACCTGTAGTCCTAGCTACTTGGGAGGCTGAAGCAGGAGAATCGCCTGAGCCCTGAGGTCGAGGCTGCAGTGAGCTGTGATCTTGCCATCATCGCACTCTAGCCTGTGCAACAGAGAGTGGGACCCTGTTTCAAAAAAAAAAAAAAGAAAGAAAAAGAAAAGGGCTAGGCATAATGGCTCCTGCCTGTAATCCCAGCACTTTGGAAGGCTGAGGTGGGTAGATCGCTTGAGATCAGGAGTTCAAGACCAGCCTGGGAAACATGGCAAAACCCTGTCTCTACCAAAAAATTAGCCAGGTGTGATGGCACACACCTGTAGTCCCAGCTCCTCGGGAGGCTGAGGTGGGAGGATCACTTAAGCCCAGGAGGCAGAGGTTACAGTGAGCCAAGATCACACCACTGCACTCCAGCCTGGGTGACAGAGCGAGATGCCATCTCAATGCCATCTCAGAGAAAAAAGAAAACAAGACAAGGTGACTCCAGGTGCACAGAGCCCTGCAGGGAAATTCACGGAACAAATGTGCCATCGTCACACGAACTGATTGCATCGATGGGTGTGGCCGTGGTGACAAGTGACCGACACCCCAGCAGCCTGCACGCAGAAGCGTCCCTGTAGCTTGGGCTCCGTGTCTGCAGTAGGGTCCTTCGGATCAGCTGCCGCCTGCCTGCCTTGTCTCCTTTCTCCCGTGTGGGGCAGGCAGAGCAGACCCTGAGTGGGACAAGCCCTGAGCAAGGCAGGGAGGAAGTCGGGGGCAGGGCCTGGGGGCTGGCGCACCCTCCGTCCCATCAGCCCTGCCAGGCCTGGTGCTCAGACCTGACCCAGAGTGGGCCTGTGGTGTCCCTGGCAGGGCTGGAGGTGATTGAGACAGTGATGCCACTGGCCCCACTGTCTGAGCCGCTCCCTGCCTCCTTCAAATGACTCTGGAAAGACTGAGCCTGTCACTGGCGATGGTAAGGGCAAGCTGCGGTGCCCTTGCTCTTGGTCCCCACTGAGCTGAATTCACCAGTAAAAGCCCTTGAAGCAGAGTGATGGCCCCAAGGCACTCGCTTACGAGTTTAACTTCTGGAACATAGCAACCCCGGCTGGGATCTCCTGGAAGCATCCCTCCAGGCTGTTTGATCAGCAAGGCAGACAGGTGACCTAAACAGCAGACATGTATCCTCTGCCAGCCCTGGAGGCCAGAATCGGAAGTTGAGGGGTTGGCAGGACTGGCCCTGTCAGGCCACTTTGCGGGAGATTGTCCCACGCCTCTCTCCAGCTTCTGGTGGTGCCGCAATCCCTGGGCTCTGTGGCTGGAGAAACCTCAGCCTCTGCCCCGTCTACACTTGGCCTCTTCTCTGTACCTCTCACTGGATTTAGGGCCCACTCTAACCCAGGGTGACCTTATCTTAAATTGTTACATCTGCCGAGACCTATTTCCAAATCAGATCACATGGCGAGATTCTGGGCAGACAGGATTTTTAGGGTCACTATGGAGCTGCCGTCATTAGCTCCTTCATCCTCACGGCAGCCCTGGAGGCAGGTGCCATGCCGCCATCTTGCAGGTGAGGAAGCTGAGGCTCGGGGGTGCCGCGAGCCCTGGGGTGTCTGACAGCAGAGCCCCCGCCAGCACCATCCACAGGGAAGCCTCTGTTCCAGTTGCCCTGGAGTCTTGAGCACCTCCCAGCTGTGGAACCTGTTTTGTGTGGCAAGGCAGTGAAGCCTCGTCACCGGAACAAAGCAGGCGCTGGATAAGTGCAACAAGATGGTCTCGTTTAGACCAGATGATAGCACATCCCCTGTGCAGGCCCACAGTCCATGGGAGCTGCTGCCATTGTTCATTGGTGTTCAGTGAAGCCGGGCACCGTGACTCAGCCTGTAATCCCAGCACTTCAGGACGCCAAGGCAGAAGGATCGCTTGAGCCTAGGAGTTTGAGACCAGCCTGGACAATGTAGTGAGACCCCATCTCTACAAAAAATAAAAATAAAACTAGCTGGGCATGGTGGCGACACACCTGTAATCCCAGCTACTCAGGAGGCTGAGGCAGGAGGATGGCTTGAGTCCAGGAGGTCGAGGCTGCAGTGAGCTGTGATCATACCACTGCACTCCAGCCTGGGTGACAGAGCGAGACTCAGTCTCAAAAAAAAAGAAAAGCCAAAGACTTTCACCTGCAGACAAGTGGGGCCGGTGCTGAGAGGTCCCAGTGAACTCTGTTTTGGATCTGTCTCTTTGAGTCTCAACACCCAGATCTTGCATCTGGGGAGCATGAGCCGGGGCAGGTGGCATCCTCAGACCTGCAGCCTCAAACCCCCCACCCCCTGGACATGGGCTCCTGACTGTGAGGCCCGTGAGTGCCTGGAGGGCCGGGGTCTGAGACCTGATTTGGCTGCCCTTACCATCAAGAGAGTGATCCCCAATTCCAGGGGCTAAGCTTCCCCACCCTCAGTTTACTCCACAGTCTCCAGCCACCCCTCCTCCCTTGGTCCCCATACATCCTGCCAGCTGGGCCTATATCCTGCTCTGTGTCATCTGAGGCTATCAGCATCTACAGTTTCCATGTGGGAAAGGCCCCCCTAATGCAGGCATCACCCCCTGGCCGGCCCTCCTCCAGGCCCCCAGCAGACAGTCGCGTGTTGGGCCCCAGGTGCTTCGCCGGGAGCCCTCACTCCCCGGGCCTGGTCGTTGGTGCTCACCTGGTTCTCACCTGTAGTTCGAGGAGCTCGTCTACCTCTGGATGGAGCGGCAGAAGTCGGGGGGCAACTACAGCCGCCACCGTGCGCAGACGGAGAAGCACGTGGTCCTGTGCGTCAGCTCCCTCAAGATCGACCTCCTCATGGACTTCCTGAACGAGTTCTACGCCCACCCCCGGCTCCAGGTGAGGCCCCTGACCGTGGCCCAGCAGATGCCTCCCTCCTGGCCCCCAGAGATGCCATCCTCTCCCTAGGACTGCTTGGCAAGTCCCTCAGTCCTCAGCCTCAGTTTACCCCTTCAGTGAGGATGGCAGTCCACACTCAGGTGGGGGGGCCCTGCGGCGGCCTCTTTTCCCTCCCGCCAGATGCAAGATCACAGTGAGCCCCAGGGCTCAGAGGTGGTGGCACAAACACAGTCCTGAAGGCAGGGGCGCCCGGGTTGGGCAGGGGCTGGCTCAGAGGGTCTGACCCTCTGCCTGGCCGGCAGGACTATTACGTGGTCATCCTGTGCCCCACGGAGATGGATGTCCAGGTACGCAGAGTCCTGCAGATCCCTCTGTGGTCCCAGCGGGTCATCTACCTCCAGGGCTCTGCGCTCAAAGACCAGGACCTCATGCGAGCCAAGTGAGTGCTGGTGGGCAGAGGGGGCGGCATGGGGGCACCTTCCTGAGACAGGTTGGCTGCTCAGGGCTAGGGCATTGGCCACCACTCTCATGGCCAAGGGTCCTGAGTTGGCCTGCCCAGCGAGCTGATCGGAGCAGGGGGTCCCGAGGGTGGGTGCCAGGAGCTCTTGGCCCAATATGAGTTGGTCCAGCTGGAGGTGGACCGTCTGGGGTGAACCATCCAGAGTGGACCGTCTCGAGTGGACCATTCAGGGTGGAATGTCCAAAGTGGACTATCTCAGCATCTTCCTGAGACAGCTCAGCTGCTCAGGGCTGAGGCATTGACCATTGCTCTCATGGCCAATGAGAGCCATTAGAGCATTGTAGACTATCCTCAGGGTGGACCATTTGAAGTGAACCATCCAGGATGGACATCTGGGATGGACCATCTAGGATGAACCCTCCAGTGTAGACCATCTGGGGTGGATCTTCTGGGATGGACCATCTAGGGTGGATCGTCTGGGCTGGACCATTCAGGGTGGACCATTTAGGGTGGAACATCTGGGGTTGACCCTCTGGGGTAGATCATTGGGGTGGACCCTCTGGGGTGGATTGTCTGGAGAAGATCGTCTGGGGTAGATCATCCAGGGTGGACTGTCTGGGGTGGACCCTCTGGGGTGGATTGTCTGGGGTAGACCATCTGGGGTGGACCGTCTGGGGCCTGTTGCAGCTTTTCCAGCTTAGGTCCCAAGCCCAGATGAGCAGGACCCTGCAGCCAGGCCCTTGTCCCTGTACTACCCACTCTGGAGCATCCCGGGCAAGCCCACCCCAGCTGAGTGTCTGTCTCCCTTTTGCAGGGTGAGGGGCAGCTTTTGCGAGCTCCACCTTTCCCTGCTCCAAGTCTAGGGAAATCTTCTTTGTCAAGGTCTAGGGAGGCTCAAAATAGACCAGGGGCGGGAGAGTCGGCTGCTGTGAGTCAAGGCAGGAGAATGGGGGCTGCAGGTGGAGCCTCCTTTTAAAGACAAATTGACAGAGTGACAGGGTAACAAGAGTGTATTGTTACCTGGAACTTTCCACAATGTGTTGGTGCACTTTCTGGGACACTCCCGGAAACTCCTCCTGGTGACGTTTTCATTCCAGGAGCCTGAATGTGTCCTCAGTAGCATAGTGTGGGTGGTACGCCCAGGGTCTCTCCCCATCGCTCCCCCTCCCCCGCCACGTCCAGAGCCCCAAGCTGCGGCCCATGGTCTATGGAACGCCACCTCTTTTGTGGTCCCGTCCCCAGCACACACAGACAATGCACCTGCTTGGGCCCAGAGAGTGGGGAGTGGGGAGAGGGCAGGGGCATAGGCCATGCCCAGCCAGGCAGGGGTGAGCCCAGGGCTGTGGGTACAGGGCCTGGGGCCCCTGCGGAGCAGGCAGTGGTGCCAGTGATGTGGTGAGGTTCCCTGCCCTGGGGCAGAGGCAACAGTTTCTCAGATAGCATCTCATCAGTTTCTGCAGTTTCCGCAGCTGGGCTTTCGGGAGACCCAGGAGGCGCTGGAAGTGACCACCCAGGGTCCCAGACCGTAGACTAGCCAGGCCAGGGAGGGGACAGGGTCTCTGCCCCCAAGTTCCCCCCATTCCTGTACCCCAGCCCAGCCCTGGGTGAATGTCTAATGGCAACATGCCAGATGGGTACCCTAGAAGCCAGTGCCCAGGTCAGGTTAGCTCCCCTGGTGCCCAGGTCACTGGCACACACTGAGGTGGGATCTCCACTGGGCCTGCTCCTGCCAACCCCGGACCCCTAGCCCCTGCCACCTGGGAGTATGGACAAATCCAGGCAGCAGAGCCCCTCGCACGACCTCCTGATGCCCCTCCTACCTGGTCAGCCTCAGGGACAAGCTGGGAGGTTGCTTCAGAGAACAGGGCCTGGGGGAGGAAGGGTAGGCACTGCCCTAGGAAGCACCGTGGGCTCCCACTCAGGGCCGTGGCCAGAAGAAGCTGTCAGCTGGTGTCTCCAGGACACACCGTCTGCGGCGTCTGACCCCCTTGGCCCCACCCGCTGTCAGCCTGCACACGCTCGGGGGACAGGCATGGCTTCTGTGCCGCCTTCTTGCGTGTTGGAGCTTGAGGTCTCCCTAGGGCGTCCAGGAGTCCTGACCCGGCTCAGAGCCTGCCAGGGAGGGGTCAGGGAGTCTGGAGAGGCCCAGGATGCCTGTGGGGGGAGCACAGGGATGCCTGCTGGTGGAGGGCAAACAAGGATGCCTGTCAAGGGCGCTGTGATGTGGGCTGGTGGAGGGGGCAGTACAGGGATGCCCACTGAGGGGACACAGTGATGTCTGACCAGCAGAGAGCAGGGGCCTCCTCCTACCTTCCATCCTCCCTGCCTTCCATCCTCCCTGCCTTCCATCCAACGGTCCTCCCAACCTCTTCCCAGGGGAGGTCCTCCTCACCTCACCTTCGCACCCCCCCAGCTGCACTGCCCACCTCCCCTGCTCCACCCGCACTCAGGCCCTGGTGCATTGCAGGATGGACAATGGGGAGGCCTGCTTCATTCTCAGCAGCAGGAACGAGGTGGACCGCACGGCCGCGGTGAGTGAGGCTGAGGCCCTGCCCAGGCGGAAAGGACACCGTGGGGCTGGGGAGCGGGGGTCCGCGAGGGAGGAGACCTGCCCCAGGCTGCTGGTGCCGCCCAGCAACCCACAGAGGCCAGCCCGTCTGCACTGACCAACCACTCACCCCGCCAGGACCACCAGACCATCCTGCGTGCCTGGGCCGTGAAGGACTTCGCCCCTAACTGCCCCCTTTATGTCCAGATCCTCAAACCTGAAAACAAGTTTCATGTCAAGTTTGCCGGTGCGTCTGGGGCAGGGCGGGTGTGCACGCAGGTGACAGTGCGTCTGGGACAGTTGTGCGTGTGCGCGCGCGGGTGACAGTGCATCTGGGACAGTTGTGCGTGTGCACGAGCGGGTGACAGTGCATCTGGGGTAGGTGTGCGTGTGCGCATGGGTGCCGGCGAGTCTGGGGCAGGGTGCATGTGCGCGCATGGGTGAGCTGCGTGGGGGAGCGGGAGGGGCCGGCCCTGGAGCTCCACACACAAGCACACCAGGAGGTGCTGGAGGGGACGGCGGACCCCCATCCTCACCGCATCTGAGAAGGGACCTAGGGGTTCCGACCTCTTCAGATGAACAGTCTTACGCTGGGGCCCTGGGGTCAGTGAAGGCAGGGTCAGAAGTCAGGTGGGGGCAGGAGCACCATCTGATGAGCACCTCTATGGGCAGGGACCATGCTGGGTGCCCGGGGGGACAGGGGTCAGGCCCCATGCCAGGTGCACGGGGGACGGGGTCAGGGCCCACATGGAGTGCCCAGAGCACAGGGGCCAGGGACTGCCCAGCCCTGGAGCTCCTCACTGAGCTGGGAGAGAAGCATAGGAACGATGGAAGGTCCATGGAGGCTCAGACCAAGGAGGGGGTTGGGGTCCAGAGACTCTGGGGGTGGTGATGCTGGAGCTGGACAGCAGGGGGTCCAGGGGGGCACCAGGCGAGGGTGCATCTGCACAGCACCTTCAGGAAGTGAGCAGGTGCTGTGGGGAAGGAGAGAGCCGGCAGGGCAGCAGGTGGACCAGCCTACCCCACTGCCCGCAGACCACGTGGTATGTGAGGAGGAGTGCAAGTATGCCATGCTGGCGCTGAACTGCATCTGCCCGGCCACCTCCACCCTCATCACCCTGCTGGTGCACACGTCCCGCGGCCAGTGAGTGCCCCGTGCCCCGCGGGACCGACCTCCGTGGCCCGGCCGGCGCAGGGAGACAAGGCAGGGCCTGCGTGGGGGCGGGGACGGGCTTCCCGGAGGAGGGGCGTGTGGTGGGCAAAAGTCCTGCACAGGGAGGGGGTCCATGCCAGGGGAAGCGGAGGGGCCACCTGCAGACCCGGCCGGGCAGGAGGGGCAGCCACGGCTGAGGGTGACGCTCCCCTGGCCCCGCTCTGGCCCACAGGGAGGGACAGGAGTCCCCGGAGCAGTGGCAGCGCATGTACGGACGCTGCTCGGGCAATGAGGTGTACCACATCCGCATGGGTGACAGCAAGTTCTTCCGCGAGTACGAGGGCAAGAGCTTCACCTACGCGGCCTTCCACGCCCACAAGAAGTAAGGCCGGGCCGCGGCCATAGGGCTGGCACTCCGGGGCTGCTCCGTGCCCTCCGCGCCCACCCGCTCAGGCACAGGAGTGGCCCTGGGGCGGGGGCTGCACAGGGCTCGGGGGCAGGACATCAGGGCATCCTGCCTGGCGAGGGCAGCCGCAGGACTGGGCTCCGGGTCCACGTAAAAACCTGCTGCGCAGCTCCTCCCTGAGGCTCATGGGCTGACACCAGCTCTCTGGTCCCCAACACCTCTGGGACGGGAGGGCTCGGCCAAGGTCCCTGACCCCAGATGGTCCCCGACCCCAGATGGTCCCCGGGAGGAAGACGCGGAGCTCCAGTGGGGACTCTGGTGATTCGCAGGAAGGGCAGGCGGGGCGGGACGGGGTGGGCGAGCGGTGGGGCCTGAAGTGCTGGTGCCCCTGCCCAGGTACGGCGTGTGCCTCATCGGGCTGAAGCGAGAGGACAACAAGAGCATCCTGCTGAACCCGGGGCCCCGGCACATCCTGGCCGCCTCGGACACCTGCTTCTACATCAACATCACCAAGGAGGAGAACTCGGCCTTCATCTTCAAGCAGGAGGAGAAGCGGAAGAAGAGGGCCTTCTCGGGGCAGGGGCTGCACGAGGGTCCAGCCCGCCTGCCTGTGCACAGCATCATCGCCTCTATGGGTGAGCCGGGGCAGGCACGCGGGACTCCCTGGGGCTGCTCCTCTGGTGAGAGACCAGGTGGGACAGGGCAGGTGACCAGGCGGGACAGGTGCGGGAGACCCGGTGGGACGGGGCAGGTGACCAGGCGGGACAGGTGCGGGAGACCCGGTGGGACGGGGCAGGTGACCAGGCGGGACAGGTGCGGGAGACCCGGCGGGACAGGTGCGGGAGACCCGGCGGGACAGGTGCGGGAGACCCGGCGGGACAGGTGCGGGAGACCCGGTGGGACAGGGCAGGTGACCAGGCAGGACAGGTGCGGGAGACCCGGCGGGGTAAGGCGGGAGACCAGCCGGGCAGGGCAGGAGACCAGGCCAGTGTGGCCTCCAGACCCAGCTCCTCTTGGCCTGTACCTCCAACCTTGGATAAGTGGCGTCTCTCTGGGCCTGTTTTTGAATCTGTCAAACAGGGGTGTCCCCACCTTCCTGTGGCCACCTTTGTGGGCATTACTCACTGTGTCCAAGTGGAGTGGCCCACAGGACTGGTTGGCAGCTCAACTGGAGGCTCCTGGCGGTCCCATCAGCTCAGAGGGTCTGCTTCACATGTGTCCCGACCCTGACGTCCAATGGGGCCAGGAGTTGGCGGAATGAGGTCGTGGTGGCTGAGGGCTTTGGCCTCTCATCGCGCCCTCAGGGATCCTCCCGGGGTGCCGCGTGCCAGGCAGGGTCAGGCTACCTCTGAGCAGGTGCAGGCCCGTGGCCCCGAAGGCAGCACCTATACTGCTGTTGCCGCCCCCCAGCCAGGCCTTCCTGGGGGACAGTTAGGGAGCAGGGCCAGGCCAGGAAGCTACTCAGGCCACAGACCCACGGCCGGGCCAGGGCATTGTTGCCTCCGTATAGTGGCCCAGGCAGAGGCTGACCCTATGGGGCACCCCTGCACGCCCACCCTGGGGGTTGTTACACGGTGGCTCTTGGGGCACCAGGTGGTTCAGTGCAGTGAGGTACAGTCTCGAAGACCCAGAGGGCCCTGGGGTTTGGAGATGTGCTGATGCAGAGCCTGCCACCTGCCAGACCCCGCAGGTTGCTGGCCCCCGTCTACGGCAGCTCACTCAGGGGGCCGGGCCTGGCCACAGGGCACTGGGGAGGCAGGCTGCTGCTGCCTAGCCACACCTCCACCTTCACCTGCACGGTGGGCACTCTGCCCCCAGGTGGCTTCCAGGAAACCAGGGTGACTCGGGCAACCCTCACTGCACCCACAGAGGCCCTGGGCCATACCTGGAGGTCCACAACCCCCACATGGCAGCCTGGGGGTGGTGCAGGAGTGACAGAGTCTGCTCCCACAGGCACTGAGTGACCCGGCTGCTCCCCACCTGGCCCTGTCCGCCAGGCAGCCTGACCAGCTGCCCGGGCCACCAAGGCTGGGACCCCGACCCTAGCATCAGCCAACCCCCTCCTCAGGCAGCTGGTACTGAGGCCACAGCAGCTGGCCTGGGTGGTACCGATGGGGCACTGAGGTCCCCTGGGTCTTCGCTCAACATCACCACCCCAGAGGCCACTGTCCCCATTGTATGGAGGGGGAAACTGAGGGATAGATTGACGCTCACCAGCTGGAGTGCAGGAGCCAGCCTGTGACAGGGTCTCCAGAGATGACTGTTTGCCTGAGCTCTGGGAACTCGCCGCCCCTGGAGGGTGGGAGTCGGGCTGCAGCCAAGCACAGGGCTCTCTTCCAGGGACGGTGGCCATGGACCTGCAGGGCACGGAGCACCAGCCCACGCAAAGCGGTGGGGGGGGCGGGGGCAACAAGCTGGCACTGCCCACGGAGAACGGCTCGGGCAGCCGGCGGCCCAGCATCGCGCCCGTCCTGGAGCTGGCCGACAGCTCGGCCCTGCTGCCCTGCGACCTGCTGAGCGACCAATCAGAGGACGAGGTGACGCCGTCGGACGACGAGGGGCTCTCGGTGGTAGAGTGAGTACTGCCTTGGAGATGGCTCCCCGGGGGGGAGGAGCCGCCGTGAGTGTGGGGGAGGGGAGCGTCGGAGCCGCCTCGGTGGTCCCCCGTGCTCTGAACTGCAGCTTCCGGACAGCTCTGTGGAAGTCCTTGTTTGACAAATGGAACCTTCAGGGGACGTGACACAGAGCCACAGCACTCTTGTCCCCAGGGAGCACTTAGAGTGTCACTGAGATGGGGGTGTGCTGGGCTGCACCCTTCCCAGTTGGGGCTGGGGGTGCAGAGCTAACTGGGGTGAGGCAGCGCTCACTGGGGCAGGGGCTCTGTGTCTGGCACCGGGTAGCACCATCCTCAGAGAGGGGCCCATTCCCACCCACCTCACCAGCCCCACAGTGGTCCGGTCACTCTCTGAATCAGGATGGAGCCGGGCAGTGACCCCAGGCCATCTCATCCACCCAGTGCCCTAGGTCTCCCCCTGAGCACCACAGAGCACAGAGGGGCACAGCCCGTCTGACCAAGGGTGGGTATCCTCTGAGCAGGGTCCCCGTGCGACCCCTGGGCAAGGCAGCACCCCAGCCTGGAAACCACAGCCCATCCTGGGCTGTTGTCCTGGCCTAGCTTTGGAGCCAAGTCCTCCGGCTACAAATTATAAGACAGGAGGCCCCACTCTGTTCTCAGCAGCTTCTGCCTCTTGGCCTCAGCCAGGACAGACAAGTGCCCCAACGGCAGGGCCCAAGGGCCCGTCCTCAGCGGGGCTTCCTCACTCTGCCGTGGCCTTCGCCTCTGGGGTTGGGTCAACGCACTGTAATAGCAGCCCGTCATTTCCCAGCTGCGAGGAAACAGCCCTGAACCATCGCGTGCGTGTGTTGAGTGCTGCTGAGGACGGGTGGTGGCTGACTGGGGACAACAGCTGGGCTGGAAAAGTGTGTGGATACGAGCCCAAGTGCCTGCCCCACCAGCCTGGGGTGCTGGGGACGTCAGGGAGGCATGGCAGGCGGGCAGAGCCCTGTGGGTTTGGCCTGTGGCTGCAAAGCCTCGTCTAAGCTGTGGTGAGGGGAGAAAGACCACGCAGGGCATGGGGGTGGATGTGTGAGGGGGGTGTGTTCTGTGTGTGTCCATGTATGTGTGGTGTATGTTGTGTGTGTCCATATGTGTGATGTGTGTGGTGTGTCAATGTGTGTTGTGGGTGTGTGGTGTGTGGGTGTGTGTGTGTGGTGTGTGTTGTGTCTGTGTGATGTATGTCTGGTGTGTTGTGTGTGGTGTGTGTCCACGTGTGGTGTGTGTTGTGTCTGTTGTGTGTGTGGTATGAGTTGCGTATTTGTGTGTGTGGTGTGTTGTGTGTGTTGTGTGTGTGTGTGGTGCATGTTGTGTCTGTGTGGTGCATGTTCTGTGTGGTGTGTTGTGTATGTTGTGTGTCTGTGTATGTTGTGTGTGGGTTGTGTGTGTGGTGTGTGTTGTGTCTGTTGTGTGTTGTCTGTGTGTGGTGCATGTTGTGTCTGTGTGTGGTGTGTTTGTGTGTCCGTGTGTTTGTGTGTTGTGTGTGGTGTCTGTGTGTGTCCATGTGTGGTGCATGTTGTGTGTGTGGTGTGTGTTGTGTATGTTGTGTGTCCGTGTGTGTGGTGTGTGTCTGGGTGTGTTGTGTGTGTCTGGGTGTGTTGTGTGTGTCTGTGGTGCATGTTGTGTGTGTGCCATGTTGTGTCCGTGCACATGGTGCGCATGTGCGTACGTCAGCGTGTTCATTTCTGTGTGCATGTGTTGTGTGTACGTCCTGGTGTGTCCATTTCCGTGTGCCTGTATGTGGCTATGTGTTGTGTGTGCATGTGTCTGGATGTGTCCATCTCCATGTGTGCACATGTGTGAACGTCTCCACTGTGCGTGTGTGTTGGGTGGAGTCTCACCCCAGACCCTCAGGGAAGGGTGGGCCCAGGGTACAGCCTGCCTGGTCCCACCCCTGAGTAGCTGAGGGCTGACCATGCGGGTTCCTGAGCTGACTAGGTGAGGGGCGAGCCCCACCGTCACCCCCTCCCACACCTGGGTGAGGGCAGCAGCAGTGAGGGCCCTGCCCACCCCGCAGTCTCCTCCAGTCCCCCAAGGCCCTGATAGGGCCAAGTCCATACCTCTCCAGCCCTGGCCTTGCAGCTGCTGCTGACCCGTCAGGCAGGCACGAACGAATACTGAAGGTTTGGCACCTGTGTGGGTGCCCTGGGCACTGCCCTGACTGCCCTGCAGGACACACGGGGTCCTGGGTGCCAAGGCTGGGCAGGCCCCACGATACGGTGATCACAGGCTCAGCTGGAGGAACGTTTGCTGATGCACAGGTGGTTGAGGGAAGAACAGGCCACCTTGGGCCAGCTATGCGTGACCCCGAGCAACGTGGCTGTGGGGGGAGTGGGTGCCCTCGAGTCCCCCAGCCCGGGATGGCGGGGCCCAGAGCAGACCCAGCCACCCGTGTGCAGCTGTGCTGAGGGCTCCTGTCTCCTGCCCCAGGTACGTGAAGGGCTACCCTCCCAACTCGCCCTACATCGGCAGCTCCCCAACCCTGTGCCACCTCCTGCCTGTGAAGGCCCCCTTCTGCTGCCTGCGGCTGGACAAGGTAAGGCTGGCGGCTCTGCCGCACTCTGCGCCCCCAGACGCCAGCACCGAGCCAGGCACACCTGCCCTGGTTTCTCTTTGGTCACTTTACATTTCGATGTCATTGCAAACTTCTAGCAAAGCTGCAAGAATACTACAAGGGAGAGCCTCAGACCCTTCACCCAGATTCAGCAGACGTTCCCTTCCCGTTCCGTGTGGGTTCTCCCTCTCCGTTTCTATGTTAGAAGCCCGTGTTTTCTGAACCATTTTGAGAACAGGTTAGAGCCACCACACCCCTTTCCCCTAATACATCCACATGCCTTCCCAAAGATGAAGAACCATCTTGTAACCACAGCTCATTAGGACAGGGACCCTGGCCCGGCATGAGTGTCTGATCCACTGTCCGGGTTCAGATTGTGCCGAGGGCCCGACAGCCTTCAGTATCCTGCGTGACAGTGTATTCCCCGCTGGGAGCCTGTCCTGGCTGCGTCTTAGCACTCCTTTCTCATTACTCTCTGTTAATCTGGAATGTTTCCTGGGGTCTCTTGACCTTAATATTTTTGCAGAGCGGGGACCAGTGACTTGGTGGCAGGTGGGTCTGCCGATGTTTCTTGGTGGTGGGACTCTGCCTGCGTGTGGGGCCAGCCCTCCCTGGAAACTCGGGGGTCAATTGTCAGGTCACTGGCGATGTTAACTTGGATCTGGTGGCAAACTGGGGTCAGCAGGTTTCCCCACTGTGAAAATCACTGTTTTCCTTCTGGAGTTAGAGCTTCTCTGTGGGGGACGTGTTGAGATCAGGAAAGCAAACCACTGGACCAAGTGGCTTCAGCATCCATCAGTGGGTTCTTTTTTGTTTATTTGTTGTTTGGTTTTTTGTTTTTTTTTTTTTTGAGACTGAGTCTCGCTCTGTCGCCCAGGCTGGAGTGCAGTGGCCGTATCTCAGCTCACTGCAAGCTCCGCCTCCCGGGTTTACGCCATTCTCCTGGCTCAGCCTCCCAAGTAGCTGGGACTACAGGCGCCCGCCACCTCGCCCGGCTAGTTTTTTGTATTTTTTAGTAGAGACGGGGTTTCACCGTGTTAGCCAGGATGGTCTCGATCTCCTGACCTCGTGATCCGCCCATCTCGGCCTCCCAAAGTGCTGGGATTACAGGCTTGAGCCACCGCGCCCGGCCCGTTTTTTTTTTTTTTTTTGAGACAGGGTCCCACTCTGTCATCCAGGCTGGAGTGCAGTGGTGGGATCATAGCTCACTACAGCCTCCACCTCGCAGGCTCAAGGGGTCCTCCCACCTCAGCCTCCTGAGTGGCTGGGACCACAGGCACGCCCCACCACACCTGGCTAATTTTATTTTTATTTTTGTAGCGATGGGGTCTCCCTATGTTGCCCAGGCTAGTCTCGAACTCCTGGACTCAAGTGATCCTCCGATCTTGGCCTCCCAAAGTGCTGGGGTTACAGGCATGAGCCACCACGCTGGCCATCAGTGGATGGTTTCCAGTTCCGAAATCTCTCCAGCTGTGTGTTAGGGCTCAGCCACAAAGGAGACCTGCTCTTCCCCGTGTGTGTCCTTCACGGACCACGGGCTCCCAGTGTGTTCTGTGGGTTGTAATCTGTGGCTGGTCATTGCAGCAGCAGCATCCTTGACAGATCGCTATTGATTCTGATGCTCAGACCCCCTGGGTTCGCTGGGTGGGGTGGGGGCCTTCAAGTGGCTTCTAGGTGCTTCTGGCACGACCCCCTCACCCTTTGAGCTCATCTGTGCTTTCCAACCGGAGAGGTTCCAGCCACATCTTGGCCTTCCCCTGCTCCAGTCTGGAATGAACCACTTCTCCAAGGAAGCCTGATTCCTTTTAGTGGAAAATGATGATTGGAAACCAAGATCTGGGCATGTGGCGTGCTCACGGCTGCTGGCGTCCCTGCTCTGAGCCTTGTGGTGGACAAAACAAGAAAAAGTGTGTGCACACACAGGACACGTACCTGTGCTCATGTCTAGATCTCCAGCCACGTGCCAAAACCACATGTTCACATGGACACCGCCCTTTCCACCCCTGACATGGCTCTGCTCTGTGCCGCCTGTGGGCACAGTTGTAGCATCTGGTGGTGCCTGTAGCTCCCACCAGGTGCATGTAGGCCATGAAAGGGCCGTGGGCCGAGAGGCTGACGGCTGGGTGTTCAGGGGGGTTGTTTGGTGAGGGGTCTGGGAGGGCTCCAGTGGCCAGCAGGAGCCAGCCCTGATTCCAGCATCTGCCCCCAGGGCTGCAAGCACAACAGCTATGAAGACGCCAAGGCCTACGGGTTCAAGAACAAGCTGATCATCGTCTCGGCAGAGACGGCCGGCAACGGGCTGTACAACTTCATCGTGCCGCTGCGGGCCTACTACCGATCCCGCAAGGAGTTAAACCCCATTGTGCTGCTGCTGGACAACAAGTGAGGCTCCTGGGGCTCTGCCCACCCCGCCCACCCCGGCCTCAGACCTGCAGCCAGCAGCCTCCCCGACTGGGCCCACCCTTCACCTTTGAAGAGGGCACGGGAACATGGGGCCTCTGGCCTGGTCCTCTCAGCTTTCCCAAAAAGGGGGGCTCTCCTCCCTGCTCCCAACTCCTCCTGCTCCCAGCTCCTCCCCACTCCCACTCCTGCTCTCAGCTCCTCTGACTCCTATCTCCTCTGGCTTCCAGCTCTTCCCCACTCCCAACTCCTCCTCACTCCCAGCTCCTCTGGCTCCCAGCTCCTCCCCACTCCCAGCTCCTCTAGCTCCCAGCTCCTCCCCACTCCCAGCTCCTCCTCACTCCCAGCTCCTCTGGCTCCCAGCTCCTCCTCACTCCCAGCTCCTCTAGCTCCCAGCTCCTCCCCACTCCCAGCTCCTCTAGCTCCCAGCTCTTCCTCACTCCCAGCTTCTCTGGCTCTCAGCTCCTCCCCACTCCCAGTTCCTCCCCACTCCCAGCTCCTCTAGCTCCCAGCTCTTCCCCACTCCCAGCTCCTCCCCACTCCCAGCTCCTCTAGCTCCCAGCTCTTCCTCACTCCCAGCTCCTCCCCACTCCCAGATCCTCCAGCTCCCAGCTCCTCCTCACTCCCAGCTCCTCTGGCTCCCAGCTCCTCCTCACTCCCAGCTCCTCTGGCTCCCAGCTCCTCCCCACTCCCAGCTCCTCTAGCTCCCAGCTCCTCCCCACTCCCAGCTCCTCTAGCTC